CAAAACGTCGGTAATATGTACATAGGCCAAGAAAACTTCTAATTTCGTGTTTATCTCCTGATACCGGCCAATCCTTAATTGCTGCAAATTTTTCAGGATCAGCTGTTACACCATTACTTGCTACAATATGTCCTAAGTACTTCACTTCTCGTCGAAACAAGTGACATTTCTTCGGACTTAACTTTAAATTCGCTGCCCGCAATCGTTGAAAGACTTCTGTCAGATTATTGGCATGTTCATCGAAGGATCTTCCAACTAAAATTACATCATCCGAATAAACCAGGCATGTTTTCCATGTCAGAGCTCTTAAAACTGCCTCCATCAATCTTTCAAATGTGGCCTGAGTATTACATAAACCAAAGGACATAACTGTGAACTGCCAAATCCCTGATCCTATCGAGAATGCGGTTTTTTCACGATCAGCTGGCTCCATGTCTACTTGCCAATATCCACTTTTCAGATGGAGTGTGTGTGTATGTCTTTAATCGTAAATTAATACGGCTCTGAATCACCCCCTAACAGTATTTAGGGAAGTGAAGCTACTAGGCTATACGCACCTCAACCTCAGTCTTGTATAAATCGGCGCGCTAAACACTTCAGTATATTTTGTGTAAACTTGAGGACTGAGAAGATTCTGGTCCCTGAGTTCCCCCAGTGCACTGTGGAAGAAGCAGAAGTTCTACATCAACATCACAGGTACCGTAAGTTGATTGCATACACACACCATATTTATATTAATTGATAAATTTACATATAACTTATTTTCATATTAAAAATAATACCAGCACCTATCTAAATAATTATGAACGAGTGTATCTCTAAATAGAATATACATTTGTTTACAACTATGCTTGTTTTGCCATTATCCTTCGTATCAATGTCAAAAACATCTTGAAATTCTGTCAGCATAGACGTCACTTTTTTTGTTCGTTCATCATCAAGATCTTGGCACGTTTTAATCATCGTCTCAACAAGCTCCTTTGGATATATAGATTTCGACGGTTTCTCGTTAGTATTCATGGAATAAATCTAAGCTACGAGAACACACTGTCCGATCAAAGTTCTTTTACTTAACTTAATAGAAGTTCCCTTTAAATTCATAACTCTTACAGGAACGACATCTCGAATTCTCTCCAAAGCTGTTGCCGTTAGGAACTCGTCATTGTTCACATCTTCGACCATCCTTAAACCTCTCACTTGGCAGTAACCATCAGCAAAATTTTCTCACTGTTACCGGGTATCGTTACGTCAAAAGTAGTTATTAAGCTGATAAAATCTTCTTTGTATTCATGAAACGGCAGCTCTTCACCAGTGATCTCGAGAACTCCATCTTTGACATTCAATACAGCCCCAACTTTCCTTAGTAAATCGATTCCCAATATGAACTCGTCGGAAATCTCTGCAATTAATACTCTATGTTTCACTGTGGTCTGGCCAATGGATACTGACATATTAGCCTCGCCATATATATTAATTATCTCACCAGTTGCTGTTCTAAGCTTTATTGTTGCAGGCGATAATTTAAGATGGCCTCGTACTACTTCTGGCCGTGCAATAGTTCTTGTTGCACCTGTATCTACCAAAAACGATCTACATTTATTATTGATACGGCCTTCGATGTACAAGCTATGAATTCCACAGGAGGACGTAACATTTACAGTTACTATGGGGGCTGTGTTTCTTGAGATCGGCAGTTGTCCTTTGGTGTCAACCCGCTCTAGTTTTCCGACTGTTGTATATCAATTTCTTGCAATTACAACGAATGTGACCTACGTCACCACAATTCCAACATCTGGGCTCGCGTCTCTTCGGCATCGTGTTACGAACTACTGTTCGTACGATTTCTTCCAGAAGTTCATTGTTTGGTTCGTCGCCTTCTTCAATGGTTCTTACTCGATGGGTCCGTGAAGTTTGACTAGCTGTTTCATGTTCCAAGGCAATAGCGAGCGCTCCATCTAGAACTTTCGGTCTTGATAGTCCTAAAGGTTTTTGTAATTCATTGTCTTTTAACCCATTGACGAAGATATCTACAGCAATTTCTTCCAACATGTTGTCTGGTGCCTCTGGATAAGCTAAGCGCACTATACGACCAACATCTGCTTCAAACTTTTGCAAATTTTCACTTGCTCGTTGAATTCTACTTCTTAGTTACGCCTTGTAGACTTGTTGTAGATGGGCATCTCCGTAACGTTTGTCTAGTCGAGTGAACAAGGTCTGGTAACATTTTTCTTGACCCTTAGGAATCGATCTTAGGATATCTGCACCATCACCTCTTAAAGCAGCAGTTGAGGAAACAGCTTTTTCTTGTTCTGTCCAATGATTGGCTGTTGCAATAGCTTCAAATTGTCTAAGATATATGGACCAAGAGGACTTTCCATCAAATGGTGGCAATTTAAATCTCATATGATGTGTCGTTTCGTCTCTAGGTGATTCTTCTTTCACTACCAGATATTGAAAGGTGATACTTCTTTAATTATTTGAGAAGTCTCGTCGAATCTTCTAGACAAATTTTCGAATTTCTCGTTATTTTGTCTTGCTACTTTTTTAATAATTTGTGAAGTCTCCTCGAATCTTCTAGATACATTTTCGAATGTTTCATCAAATCTTTTGGAAACGTTCACTAATTTATCATTATTTTTTAGAAGTTTCTTCTATCTTCATTAAAACTGCTTCTTCTGCTGATTGAAAATGGAATGTCTCTGGGTCATCTCCATTCTTGTTAAAAACATTCTTTAGTCGTTCTTGGATGATCTTCTTGGACCCGCTGCAGTCTTCATTGTGTTCTTCAAGTTGCTTACGCAACTGTTTTACTGAAAGTTGTACTAGCAGCATCTTTGGTCAGGCACACACGTACTTTTTTAAATGTTCTTTCGTACAAAGATCACTAACGAACTACGCGGATGTTCCCGACGAACCATACTTTTCAAAATTCAAAAGTCTTTTCTTTTTTTAAAGTCACTGCTGAATTTATTTTTCAATAAATCTATTGTCCTCACACTGTGACTGTGACACCAACTGTACCGTTTTTAAATAAAACGAGCGGTTCGAATTTATATTAATATATTTATTTATAACTTTACAATTCGGTACTTATCAACTATCAGTATCTTATCAACTAAACCTACTCCTAACATCGTTACATATATATATATATATATATATATATATATATATATATATATATATATATATATATATATATACCAAAGTTACTATGTTCTAGAACATTCCCACCTATAATTCGCCTACGTGACGGATTGTTCTCTCTCGCACTCGATACGTCTGGAAACTTGGACTCGCTTTCGAGATGCAACCGCTACACGGGACACGCTGAATGCATGTTTGTTACAATATTATAAATTTTAAACTTACCTCTTTTAGGGCTTTAATAGTAAAAACGTCCTGCCATTATTTCTTGTTCAAAATAATCCATCTTATATGAAAACTTATCAGCTTTCTATAGACTATTTATTTGTTTTTGGCATAGCACAATCACAATACACAATAATAATTAGTTTTTAAAGCTATTAATCTAAATTTAATACGTATTTATAAATACAATTTATTAACATGTATTATATTATGTATGATCAAATTGTGTAAGAAAACAAAACATAAACAAAAGTCTTACTCTAAAAAAGTGGCAACACTTTATACACTTTTACCACACGCTGACCTGTCAATAAAATTTGAAGTATTCCCGTATCAGTTGCGTACAATTGTCTAATCTATTTAATTAAAATTATTATTTTGTGGAATATTAGATTTAAAGAGTTATTTCATAAAATTTATATTATTAATAATAACAAATGTTTTTGATTATTTAATCAACATAATTCTAAAATTTGCAATATAATGATGATTAAATTTTTCTGATTATTACACCATGTTGACGCCTATGAAAGATCGAACAGTTCCGTATGGGTTTCGTATTATTAGCTGTGTTAGGAAAATTTGAATTCTAAAAGGTTGATGTTCTGGAAATTTTAAATACAAGTGACGTCACTTTGTATAAATCGTGACGTGAAAGTGTTTTACTTTGAAAAATGGTATATATTCTTTGTAAGCTTCTATATTCTTTGACCGTATTATCAAAAAATATAGACATCTTTTCAGTACAAAAGAGCCTTATTCGTGTACCCCGCTCCATTCCGTATTGAAATACCGTTGTTATTATAAGAAAAACACCATAATTTATATATAACATATTTCTAATATTATATTATTTATCTATGGAGCAGTTCCGTATGGGCACAGAATAATAAACAATCAGACAGAATGCCCACTCTCAGATACCGCCTTTGAAGTTTGTCAGCACGTGAACGCCATGTTTTAGACGGAAAGATTGATTGAATCCTGAGTCTAGACCATCGAGCAAATAGACTCTGGGTTAAATTAATGACCCTTAAATTGTATTTATTATACGTCATTGGGTTAAACACATTTTTAACATTTATATTTGTTTCAGAAACTACGACGCTGAAAAAGAATTCACTAGAATGAGGAAAAAGGGATTATTTGACTCATGTGATCCCGATGATAATGAATAAATCTTAAAGATACATTATACACAATTTTGTATGTTTGTATATTAGTCATTGTTGAATTATAAGTAAAAGTGATTTAATATAATTGTTATTCAAAAATCTCAGTTTTTATATGAATCCTGTAATATCATTTACCAACATCTAGAAAAGAATATGGATTTGACACATTCTTAAGTCTAAAATAAAACCAGATAAATAATATACTTTTATACATTGTTTAAAACAATGTTTATTGTGTTTTGTTTTTGAAACATTTCGTTGATCTTATTATTTTAAAATTGGATTTCTGTTGATAGCTTAATAATAATAATTCTAATAATGCTTTTGAAATGAGTCAAATACAGTAAAAAAATACAAGAGGTTCCAACCTTTAGAATTCGTACATTTTGACATACGTTGACACGTACATCTGACATTTGGGCCATTTGGCTTTTTTGATTGGTTCTAACTTCATTTCATTAGGTCACAAGTGCAAAGTAGCAAAGTATCTCAAATTTTGTTTCAAGGATTGAAAATTAGAGTGAGTATTCTTTTAGTTTTTAATCTATTTAGTAGCTATAGAGTGTAGTTCTAATATTAAACTGTGTTTCCTTATATTATTTATGGTTGATTTGATTGTTCACACTTAACCTATACCTAGTATCACTGAGTTATATAACATTTTTTAAGAAAATGGCTGGTGGTGAAGTAAGTAAAACAACAAAACCCCAACTAAGAGGTCTTCTAGCTGGACAAATTAAATGGAATATTATTATTGCTACCACTACAGCCGTTGCAGCTGCCATAGCCCAGAAAGTATTTGTCAATGATCAAAGAAAGAAGGATTACGCTGAATTTTACAGGTAATAGATAGGCTACATTTACAACTTAAATTTTCGTTTTTATAATTTTAAAAAGTAGCACAGTGACTATTAGAAGTAGCTAAAGTCGCAATTCAATTATTTCATGTTAATACCATTATCAGGTACTCTGGTTTCATCTGGATCAAAAATTTTGCTAAACTTATGTAGTTTTTGTTTGTTTCTCATTTGAATTGTCAGTATTCTAGAGAGTTGGCCCAATTAGTCCAGACAAAAAGTATTCCTATGACTTTGAACCAGCTAGGTATCTGGGTAGTTTTTTGAGTTTTATTGGCATCAATAACCAAAAGCTGTATGTTTCCTGCAGTGGATTCGGTGGACTTTTTAGATTATTAACAATTTAAGGCAATATGTGCCAAAGGCACATTTGTAATGTAAAAAAAGATTAAATACAAATTAAAAAATAAACATCAAAATTCATCATAAACTGAGATAAAAGTTTTGCAATGGTGGAAGTAGTTTTTCTAACTCATTAAATTATTTTTATAGAATAACTCTCTCTTGCTTATGCTACCCATAGAATCACTATAAGCTCATATTTTTCTGACTTATGTTATTGTAAAAGGTTGTTTGGAATAAAACAAATTGAATTACTTTTAAACTAATACATGAATTACCCTGAAATTTGTAACACTCTCAGACCCAGCTTTCTACACAATATCACAGTTGTAGGTTTATTTTTATCATAGATTTTAGATTTATTAAAAGCTACAAACTCTTAGGTTTTTTACAATTTTCTAAGTAACAAATTGGTCATTAAATGTGTTTTATGAAATAATTACCTCCAAATTTGTTCAAAATGCTTTAGGTACTTTTCATTGGTAGACAAAATTTCATAAAATTGAACATTTTTGTCTTTATTTGTTAATAATATAAAAAGTCAACCAAATCCATTGCATGAAACATAAAAGTTTTGGTTATTGAGATCCAATAGGGTATTTTTTTTTAGCTTATTTCTCTGGACTACAAAAGCAAGCAACTTAGTTACTCTTTGCAGTGTTACCAAAGTTTAGATAAAATTCAAACTAAGTAAAAATACTAACATAATATTTAAATTAAGTGAAATCAAATGTTACTCTCATATCCATATATACCCATTAATAAGTTAGATTTATATATTTTAGCTCCTAATCAATTTTCTCAATGTTTTACAATTCTTTGTCAATTAAAAGGGTTCTGAAACTGTTTTTGTAGCATGTTTTAGTTTGTTGTAGCATGTTTAAGTTAAATATTGTGTTCATATGGGATTAAGCCACAGTTAATTGTAGTAAGTCACAAAGACTTCCAATAAATCACAGATAAGCAGACATGTAAGGGACAATAAACACAGAGTACAATGGAAAGATGCATGAATAATAATGAAAGAAGCAGACATGAAAAAGAGAAAAATCGAAGAAGCAGATCTTATCCTATTTATTGAAGAAAAATGTGTAGCATACCTATCAATAGAATGCAGTAGGCTCTGATTGCCTGCTGCATTCTAGTAGTACTAAAAGAAGAGCTCAGCAACAGGAAGATACCAAAATTAACAGATTATTAGAAGGTCTGAGATAAATCGTTGAATTGATGCACAGGAAGTCTGACTGTAGCCAATCTGTGCCATTAGCCACAACTACTGTTCCTGTCGAATCTGCATCTTGATCTTGCCAGAATGTGGAAAATTTTAAAATAGATTAAATTAATAAATAAGCCAGCAAATTTATTACCTTTAATAATAGTATTCTTCTTCTTCTTAGCCTTTTATCAAAGCCCCAAGTTCTTCCATCAATCTCTATTGTGGGCAACATACTCCCAATTTGTTTTTTTCCAACTATAGTATTAGTACTTGAAATATATTTATATATATAATATATATATATATATATTATATATATATATATATATATATATATATATATATATATATATATATATATATATATATATATATATATATATATATATATATATATATATATATATATATATATATATATATATATATATATATATATATATATATATATATATATATATATATATATATATATATATATATATATATATATATATATATTTATATATATATATATATATATATATATTATATATATATATATATATATATATATATATATATATATATATATATATATATATATATATATATATATATATATATATATATATATATATATATATATATATATATATATATATATATAACGCCTTTGATATAGTGTTAGGATAGAAACTATGAAAAATATTAAGAGAAAAGCGAATGGACAACAAGTTACTAAGAAGGATACAAAAAATATACAATGAGAACAGACGAGGCTTAAGACAAGGAAGTACTTAGCCCACCACTATTTATAATATTAATGGACGATATTATTAAGATCTTATTGTGAAGTAGCCAACTTGTTCATGATACTTTCCCAAACCGTTCTCCTATTCATAAGGCGACGGTACAAAAACTGTAAAGTGATTTAAAGAATCTGGAGAAGTAAAAGATAGATATCGATCAGGTAGCTCGAAAAGAGTTATGAATGACAACAAAACTTTAGATATAATGCAAAGCTTTGGTGAAGATCCACATACATCTTCATGTAGGGTTGCACAAGTACATGATGTAGGTCGTTCTTCAGTCTTACGTGTATTATATAAAAATAAATTTAAATTTACTGAGGTAACGATGGATAAAATTGAAAATGATGAAAATTTCGTTAACAGAATATGTTTTTACGATGAAGCAACCTTTACACTGTGTGGAAGTGTAAATTGACACAATTTAAGGTACTAGAGTGACGTAAATCCAGACTGGATGTGTGAAAACCATACTCAGACTACAAAAATTAAATGTATGGTCAGGTATAGTAGGTACTTAATTGGGCCATTTTTTATCGAAGGAAATTTAATGTCACATAGTTACGAAATGTTACTTAGAAATGAAATTGTACCCCTACACTGAGAAACTTGTTTGGGGTCAATTTTAATCAGATATGGTTTCAGCAAGATGGAGCTCCAGCTCATTTTGGTGTAAATGTTCGGCGTTATCTAGATCAGATATTTTCCGGACGATGGATTGGTAGACGAGGTAGAATAGAATGGGCTTTATGTTCACCTGATTTCAATCCTAAAGATTATTTTTATTTGAGATACTTGAAAAATTCAGTTTACAAAACTAAACCAGCAAGTCTTGCAGAGCTAAGACAAAGAATTATCGATAAATCTCGAATAATTTCTAGATGATCATGGAGAAATGTGGTAGATGCATTCTACCATCAATTAAGGTACTGTCAACTCACAAATGAAGCACATTTTGAATACTTGATAAAGTAACAATTATGTTAAAAAATGTATTCAGACAATTAGGCGTTGCCAGACTTATGTTTTATGTATTTAAGACCTTCCAGACTGCATACAATCTTGTTATACCTATATAATTGAACTCATATTAAATAGGAGATTCCAATAATGACTGAATATACAGAGTGATGAATTTGAAAAACCAAAGTTACTAATAATATAAGAGAAACGCCAAATCTAGCAACATTGCAAATATCAAATATGGAATCTACATCTCCCAAAATAGGTGTATCTCAAATATTGTAAAATTATGACCAAATTATGATTTTTGGGCCACTCTGTATATATATATATATATATATATATATATATATATATATATATATATATATATATATATATATATATATATATAGATTGAACGAAATAAATTCGGAACATACGAAATATTATATATTTCGGTTCAATTCTGCTGTAGGAGGTTGGCCAACAAATGGCTGTCAAATAATTATATTATAAAAATCCAATACTTCAGCGGGCTGCTGGATTCTGAACTCATTCATAGGTGGGCAAACCACCTATCGCTTCCTAAAGCCGGCCACTCACGGTACAGCGGTGTCGTTCGACATAATTGGACAGAGGGGTTGTTCAATTTGTTGGTATATCTGGTGCGCCCACACACCATACTGCGCCGCAGTATTTGTTCGGTTCTCGACCATGTCAAATCAAACAATCATTTTAGCATCTCTTACTTTGTGTATAACTAAGCGTAAAAAGAAACCTAAAATATAACGTAGATTCTGGTGCAAAGAATCCAAGATTTTTGTGCAAAACAAATCCCGTCTGTCCCTGCACCCGATTTACTGGACTGCACTGCTAATTTTAATTCTCTTTTATAGGATGTTCTAAAATTGTTAATTTTTTTTTCTTACATACTCTTCATTCGCATCTTTGTTTACTTCTTGGAACTTTAAAACTAGAATGTCCATTGCCTGTTTTCGGGCGTTTCTATCGTGATACGTTTTACCTTTTATTCGCTATAAGTATTCTTGTTTTTTATATAATTTAAAAAACTCTCTTAAAACATTCTCGCTAAATCAAGCCATTTCGATTTTCTATAATATGATCAAAGCAAGTGTGTAGTTAAAAACGCAGTTGAACAACGCCGCTGTATCATGAGTGGCCGCCTTTAGGCATGCCCCTCTTTCGTTTATCGGAGGTGGAGATTTTGAGCGGTGTTGCCAATATCATTTCACTAGATGTTTCTAAAATAACTACAAACTTTTGAAATAACTACAAACTATTAAGTTTATTTTTGTTATTAGTCTGTTGTAGTAGATTGGTACATACAATGAAAAATATAGGCAAATATCCGATTTATTTAAAGAAACGAAGAAGATATAACTTTCAAAAAGATCCGCAAATCGGATTATTACACGGCGATTGGCAACATTGACTTTGAGCTGCGCTCTAGACAATGGTGGGTTCTAAAAGGAGACGGATAGTTGAACGATATTTTATACAATGTCTAACACCGGGTATGGATTTATTTTTGTTCAAGTTTTATATTGGTCCACTATTTCAAATGCAGTTCAAACAGACATATATTAAATTGTATGATCCGTTTTAAATTCGTTCAATCTGTATAAATATATATATATATATATATATATATATATATATATATATATATATATATGTATATATATATATATTATAAGTAAGATAAATTGTACAGTTGTTTAAACAACTAAGGTTGTTTTAAGAACTAATTCCCTAGGTTCTCTAATTCAACGGATTACAATGATTCGAATTTTGTTTGAAATCTTGAATTCACTTTTATATATTAAAAAAATTAAGTATTTGAATTTTTTTTTTATTAAATTTTGAAGATTCTATGTGGCTTTTTAATACCTAAACAAGATTATTGAAACAATTTTATTTTTGCCCCTTTTTTTTAATGGTTTTTGCTAATTTTGCAGTAATAATTATTATTTTTTCTATTTGCAATTATGTAATTCTATCTTGTAGCAAATTTAATTGCAAAACTTTTTGTCTTCGCCAAATTGTTCTAAAATGCAGAGCTGCTGAGATATAGCGACGAAAATGAAAAAAACGGATTTTTCTAATTTTTTTCACAAATTGTTTAATTAAATACTTATTAAATACTTATTAATAATTATTAAATTATCATTTCTAATAAAATTTCGAAGCGATAAAAGCAAAAAATAGGATCATATATCCTCAAATGAGGGTGTTTTAGAACAGATACGGACTGTAGTAGGACAATTTTAGAACAGCATTATTGATTATTATCTTATTATTATAATAAGGAATTAATGAAATGCGATGTAGTATCTATATTACAGTAATAGCCCTATAAAAACTGAAGTGAACTGTTTAATTTTTTTTTAATCTTATCTTTTTTATTTTTACGTTTCCGTATCGTTTTATTGTGAAAATCATATTTCTATGACTACTTTTTTTTCTGGGTCGTTTCAGTTAAGGAAATTTTTACTGTTATTATAGTGCAAATTAGACATGAGTTTTATATTTATCATTTTGTGTTTCAGGACATATGATATTGAGAAATCCTTCAACCAAATCAGAAACAAAGGTTTATTTGACTCCTGTGAACCAGATAACTAAGGAGTCATAAATTATTAGAACTTATTAGATTTTTAAGTTATAAGTATGTAATTTTTGTCAATATAATTTAAACAACAATCAATTTTTTTGTTAATGTGTTTTTATAAATTTTCCATCAGTTTATTTAAATGGAAATAGCCACAATTAAAGTTTAAAGTACGTTTATTGACGTTGAATTTCCAATTCGCAAATGGTTCTCAGTATACAAACATTAGTAAATTAAACAATTTTTTTGTTACTTAGTGAAAAATTCTTTTAATAATTTAATTTTATTCAACTCATTTATATTGACAATTCAGACATACATTATACATTTTAAAGTAGACGACTTTAAAATGATATTGCCAATATTGTTGAGCTGCGCTCCTGGGACGACTTTACTTATAAGATAGTCCATTCGATTACATGAAATTAACTTTAACTTGAGAATATCCGTCAGAAAAAATCCATAGCATGTAATTCGTCTTTAAAAAGACAAACACATGCCATGATGACAGTAAAATTCTCCTGTTAGTGATTCCGTAGTAAATTATGAGGGAAAACCAGGAAAAAAAACTCAATACTATCCATGGTAAGTATTTGGTCGTGCATTTAGTTTACCTTCAATAAACACCAAATTCTGATTTTATATGTTTGGTATTTAAAAAACATAAATTATGTATCCTCGATATGTTACTGACTTACTACTACTGGTATTTTCTTTTTAATAACTTCCTCTTTCAATATGGGTAACCAGATCCTACTACATTCTGCCGAGGAATTTGTGACACAATTGGTCTCATTTAGCATAATTAGAGCCGCTTTTTTGATTTTTCTTTTTTTGCCATCCGTTTCTTTTAGGACTACATTTGAATCATTCCATTGAACCCTATGTTCATTATCTCATGTGTGTTTACATATTGGAAATCTATCAAATTCTCTATTTTTAATATAAGATTGATGATTCACATATTCTTACATTTAATGGCATTGATGTTTCTCCTAAATAAAACTGATCGCATTCACAAGGTATTTTATAAATGCAATTCTTTGTCCTTTCTTGTTCATTGTTAGGTTTGGTTTTGGACAAAATAGATCTCAACGTGTTTGTTGTTTTGAATGTTGTTGAAATGTTCTTTAAAATTTATTTAATTTACTAATGTTTGTATTTTCAGATATACTTTAACCTTTAATTGTGGCTCATTCCATTTAAATAGTACTTAGTATTAATCGATTTTGGTAAAATCACTTTACGTTTTAAGTATGTTCAGTTATTTTACTCTAGTTTAATTTATAACAAATAAATTTTACTGTTAACAGAGTAATAGTGGGACTTGGCAGTAAAGGAGAGTTGCACAATAATGTGAGAGGTGGAGGGTAGTTCCATACCGTGCAATTTTTATGACATAATTTGTGGATTTGACAATCTCAACTTAGAAAACGAAAACAATAGTAATCAGCAAAGAACCAATTAGATGTAAAATAGAAGATTAGCCACAACAAAAAGATTAATGGAAACGACAGAGATAGAACTGAGAAGAATTACAGGAAATACGCTGGGAGATCGAAAGAAGAATGAAGACATTAGAAAAAAATGTAACGTGCAGTGTATAAACAAATGAACATTAAACAGAAAAAAAGAATGGAATAACCACATAAACAGAATGGGGAAGACCTGTATGGTCAAAATAGCAAGACAATAATCGTCAATCGGTAGAAAAAGTATCGGACGACTGCGCAAAGGATAGTGTGACAACCTTCCATAGAAGTATCAATCCGCTAATAAAGAGGAAGAATTGATTGGACTTAATACTTAATTAAAATATTTTAGCATTTTCTTCTCTATCATTTTAACGAAATAATAATTAAACTTCTATTCTCTTTGTATACTCCAGTCGTTAGAGACGCAAAAGCCACTGAACCTCTAAAAATCATACGAACAAGCTGAATTTGGCCGAGCATATTAATTTTGGGACTCCAAAAAAATACAAAAAAGTTTACCACTAAAATCTCCACGTATGGGGGGTAAAAACGCAAAAAAAAACAATTTATTAAGAATCTGTACACCATAGAAAAAAATGTTTCAAATAAAAATTGTAGCTGAGATAATTTTTAACAAAAAATGTTTACTAGCATTTTTTGTGTATAATCCACCTCGCTTTTAGAAACAAGGCTTGAAGCGACCGTCGATTTTGTATGTAAGTTACGCGCGAGAAATCAATGTTCAATAAAATTTGTATCAGCTCGACGGTAAAAATTCGATTTATTTTTATTCAAGTGGTCTATCGACAAAAATCAAGATGCGTCTTAAAGGTAAGGAGTTCAGCTTTCGTATGCAGTTTTTGTATTTTGTTATTTCCCAAATAAACTGAAATTTTATAAAGGGTTAAATAAATAAACGTGGCGGGATTTTGCAATTTCTTTATTATTCTCACGAGATCAATACAATCTATCCCCTTCATTGACTATTCCCCATGAAGTTTCGATTACTAGAGCCTAACCTTTAAAACCTATAGCATTAAATTTGAGTTTTGACAACAAATGTGAGGCATTTGAAATATGCTTAAAAAACGCTGGATTTAAACTTTCACACAACAAACGATCTAAAACATTTAGGAACTTTTTTGCAATTGCACTAATACGTTTTTTTTTTTTCAAAAGAAAAAAAACGTCTGCAATAAACTGCACCCAAAACCGTCTTAAATGCATTTCCCCGGACGTGTGATTGTTTGCAAATTAAATTCTGATGTAAATGTAGATTAAATTCTGCGTTTTTTATTTATATTTCAAATACCTCATATATTTGTTACCACAACTCAAAATTGAAATTTTATGTCATATGTTTTAAAGACATCTCTAAAAATGGAAATTTTACTGCAACTGGTCAATGAAAGTGATCAATTTTATTGATCTCGCGAGAATCATAAAAAATGGCAAAAATTGCGTCACGTTAAATTATGTAACACCTTTATAAAAACCGAGTTTATTGCTGCTGCACTCTTTGCCTTTAAAACGCATCTTGACTTTTGTCGATAGGACATTTGGATCAAAAGATGCCGAATTTTTACCGTCAAGCCGATACAAATTTTATTGAACATTGATTTCGCGCAAGTAACTGACGTGCAAAATCGACGGTGACTTCTAAGAGAACGGTTTATTTTTGTTTAAAATTATCTCAGCTAATATTTTTTATTTGAAACATTTTTCTCTTGGTAAATCGATTTTTTTGTGTTTTTACCCCTCCGCGAGGGAGGTTTTAGTGTCCTCGGACGCGACTAGTACGCGCTCGAGACGCATCGCCCCGCACCTCATTTTTCCTATTGGTCGCTGGCCTGGAAATCCCTATTTATCGCTACTTCAGCGTGTATAAAAATAGGCGATTTTCAGGTCAACCAAGTCAGTCCCTCACGGGCTCTTTCTTGTTTTAAGCTTTTCCATACTCCAAGCTGTGGATGGAGATTTTATTCTACTACAATTTGGTGTTTTATTTCAACTATAATTAGTCATGTAAGAAATATCTTGCCTTTTTCAAGGCAAGTCATCGAAGACGACAAACGTGATGTTTATTTCGACAACTTCATCATGTAAGATTTTTGTCATGTAAGAAATCTCTCGTCTTTATCAAGACGAGCCATCAGGAGACGAAACATTTTGAAGTCCATACCCTGAAAATGGACAGTAGAGGAGCTGACGATGTTTCCGAAGCCCTCTACAGAGCACCCGGAGGCTACAGAAGGTGATTAGACCTGTTATTTATCTACCGAGGTGACATTAGGAGGAAGCTCGGGGGTAAAAGCTGTAAACTTTTTCGGGGTCCAAAAATTAATATTCTGAGCAAAATTCAATTTGTTTGTATGATGTTTAGGGGTCAACTTTTTGACGACTGGACTATGTAACTCATAACATTATATAATATATATAATAATTAATTCACATCTTATAAATGGTTGTTTTACTTTCAAACGATAAAGACCTGTGAGTTCCGTTCACAAATGCACGTCAGATACCATCAGCGATGTATTAGCAGTAAGGAAATCCCATACCGCAACCGGTGGCGTATCCAGCAAACACACAAATGTCTGACGAATAACAAATACAAATCCTTTATATTTTTCCCAACCGATAACCAACGTTACCGTTATATTATCCTAACCCACAATTACAAGTACAATATTTACCAACCATAACAGTTTCAAATGGAGGACGAATCGAAAACTGTAGAAAATAAAAACAAAGGAAAGAAACCGTGGCAGTAGAGGTACACTGAGATGCAAAACTTTCAATGACAATAACTTTTTTATTAAACACTACTTTAAACTTATATTGTACCCCTATATTTGGTATATAAACAAGAACTGAAAAATCATGTCGTTTTTTGATAGAAACTCACATTAACAGTTTAAAAATATTAAAAATTACTAAATGTCTCACTGTTCCTTTCAATGTGGGAACACTGAGACGAATTTTACGTTAAGACTGTCAAAGTTTAATGCAAACTTAAAAAAGCGAACTTTGGCGCTTAATTTGCATTAAAAGAGGCGGCTAAATCTTTTTAATGCATGTGAGACATCTGGGACAACTGGAAAAAATAACCTGTTTTCACATTTAGCGCTTTTTCTTAAAAACGATATTCCAATATCATTTTCTTTTATTTGCGACAAGACTCTGCCTACAAGTATGTCTTTTGCTTAGAGTTAAATTCAACAAGCACATAATTCCCATTATTGGGACAGCGATCAAGATCTTCGAAGCTAATAATTGGTTTGGGATCTTCACCAATAAAATCCTCGCCACCGCTGGAATCTTGTAATTCCATTGAACTTGCTCATCAGAATCACTATCTGATACGCGCCTAGTTACTTTTTCTGTTTTGGTGTTTTTTTCTTTAGATTCAATCAGTTCCTTTTTTCCGGGGTATCCGTAGCTATCATCGTCTTTCCTTTGAGTTTTTTGCTGCCCTCCTCAGATTTTCTTGTCGGAGCTTTAGGATAACCTTTAAAAACTGTTGGGCTAACAAAGGTTCTCCTAGTATCAATATTACTTGGACTTTGATTTTCTACATCTAGATTCATTTATATCAACGGCTGTAATCTGTTTTTTCTGGTACTAC